TTCCCTTAGAGATGTAGGATGCAGCCAAATCTGGCACCCAGGAGAGGAAGGCTGGGGGTCTCTAAGGGAAGACCCAGATGCTCAAACCTGTGAATGGACCGGAAAGGTTTCCTGGGAGCTTCTGAGGCCAACATGGGGCTAGCAAGGTAAATTTGCAAGAATTGAAAATTGCATCTTCAGCGCTCGCCCACACCGTTTTTAAATCTTGCTTCTCAGCTACCTTGAGAGAAGTGGCTTCTTCCAAAGGGAAGACACACCGGTTTCCTCAAAGCCACCGTTCTTCACTGGAGTCCTCTCAGGGCTGTGTGTGAAAGTGTCAGCCACAGAAGCCCGGGACAGACCAACAGGCTCTCGGAGCAGCCTGAAAGTTAGTTTTTTTTTTTATTTCATTTCCTAACCTGGTTTCTGACCCCTTTACCCCCATCCAACCTCCCCCGTGCTCCAAGACTACCCAGAACAGTTGCCAGAAAGGAGAAAGGTAGACATATTTGACACAGAGAGAGGGGTCCGGGCCAGTCTGCCTAATGCACCATTTGGACTGCTTCTTCTTAGTTACTTATTATCAATGTCTATCAACATGATAATAAATATCTTGTTTTGCAGGACAAGCTGTTGTCTCCTTTCAAAATTAGAGTACCCTATTATGACTCTCTTTCTCATTTTACAAAATGTCATGGACTCATTCTTATATTTGGAATGAATCTGTCAGCTATTGGAACAATTCATGATTATAGATAACTAGAATAGTAACAGATAGTAGAAAGAAGAAAAATATCTCCAAGCCCCTTCTCAACACCCACCCTTGATTTGATCTATTCCCTTATGGGTTTTTTGTTGTTGTGGTGGTTAGTTTTTTGAGACAGGGTTTCTCTGTGTAGCTTTGGAGCCTGTCCTCTGTAGACCACGCTGGTCTCGAACTCACAGAGATCCACCTGCCTCTGCCTCTCGAGTGCTGGGAGGTGTGAGCCACCACCGCCTGGCTTTCCCTGTGCTTCTTGATACTGTAGATTCTTTTTTGTTTGTTTGTTTTGTTTTGTTTTTTTGAGACAGGGTTTCTCTGTGTAATTTTGGAGCCTACCTGGCACTCGCTCTGTAGTCTTAAGTGCCTCTGCCTCTTAAGTGCTGGGATTAAAGGCGTGTGCCACCAACGCCTGGCCATTCTGGAATTTTTATAGCAAAGAGAGATTCATAGTTCCTCCCTGAGAAGGTGTCTCCTTGCTGCATGTGATGGAATGCTGCCAGATATGAAGCAACTTACCCACCAGCTGACTCCAGATATTTCTACCTTTAAAGACTATCAAATGTTAAACAAAACATACTTCTCAAGGAACCCAGTTCTAAGCAGGCATTGATATGAGCAGAGAGAGCAAGGCCAAAGGTTTTGTAAACACAGGAAGTCTACTAATGCCAAAGGGTACTCACAAAGGGTCTGAATTGCCCATGCTGACCTTAAAAATGGTTGATGGATTCCAGGTAACAATTGAGAAAGGCCCAGAAAGAAACGGGGCTCCATGAGGGAACAGGTGAGGAAGGACCATATTCACACAAGCACTTGGGCGCAGGCTGGAGTTCTCAGAGGAGATGCCATGAGGTCCTTTTGTTTCCCCTCCTAGTCTCCACAACCGCTCTCAAGGTGGTGTAGATGAGCCCTTGGTTTGTGAAGTTAGGGACAAAGACATTTTGCAGAGTCTGAATGTGTTCCGTATTTCAGTGCCTGGAGAAACACCGCTTTAGTGCTGTTAACTGCCATTTATCCCATGAAGATGGCGCTGTATATCAACTGGGCTAAATTATGCGTTATCCTTTACAATCACAAGTGCCTCCATTTTTAACAGCTGAAAAAAGAACTGAGACAAGTGAGCTGCCTAAGGCCGCACAACCTCAGAAATGTCCAAGTTCATGGCTTTTCAAAATTCAGCGTAGCTTGACGCTCACCTCTAGGACTCTGCCCCTTTGGGCTCTGTGCTTCGGGGGGAAGCCTCCAATGTTCTGATCTATCAGAGCGGCCAATGCTGGATGAGAGAGTTGTGCGCCGATGTGTTAATGTGAGCTGCAGTCCTCAGAAATAAAGCAGAGTCATCCTGAGGAGCTACAGTTGCCCTGTTCTTCACCTCCCCGGTGCTGGAGGGAGTTCAAGGTATCAACATGAATACCTATTCGGATGAATACATATTCATTCGGAGGGTACCCAAATTGATAGGCACACCATCTTCCAGGACATAGAAAGGAGTAAGTGCCTTATGCACAGGAAGTCATAAAGTAAATATGATATATGATGCTTTCAGGAGATAGAACCAAAGGTTAGAGCAAAGCTGCTTGCTTTCCGCAGGCACAAAGATGATCAGTTATAATATCTGACGAATAGCAAGGATGCTGTTTGCGGTGTTCTTTTTTTACTGATCACTTGACTGTGACGGGCCCCCGATTTAAAGAATGAAATACAGGCCAACTAAAGGTTATGTGCTTTGTAACTCTAATTCATGTCAGCCATTGGTTTAAAGCCTGTAATGGATTTACTTAATTACAGGTAAGAGCTTTCTGGCTGATGTAACTAATGGAAATGCCATTCTGCTCCAAGGGCATCCTCGTTCATTGTGTGGTCGCTGGGCACTAGATGTAGAGTGATCGTCCAAGAACCCAGTAGCCATGAAGAATAATGTGGGTTTTTTTTTGTTTTTAATTCAGTAGATGTTGTGAATTCGATAAACCTGAAGGAATTATATCTTGGCTGCTAACGACATTCTGCAAGTGTTCAAATATATGTATTTATGTTGAGACAAAGGCTCAGGTTGGGTGGTTGGATATGCATTCCAAAGCAAATAGACTAAGCAACTGGACCCAGTCTCCTGAGGAAAACATTCCAGCATGCCTTTTCTCTCTTTTTAAAATTTTTCTTCTGTTGTTTTCTTTTTCTTTTCTCCCTTCTTTTTTTAAAGGACAAAAAGTTCTGCTTTGCTTCAGAATGTCTTGGTGAAATGCCAGGACTATCACTTCCAAGGGGTGTGATTAAGCACTTTTGCAGTTGTATTTATAGAGTTTCCTCACCTTGTAGAAGAAACCTTGAAATCCCCTTTTCTATCAGTTGCCAGAACTCGACTTTGCTAAAGGGCTGGGTGGCTGACCCAGTGACCTCTGGAACATCACTTCCTGCCTTGGGGTTGTCAGCATTTGCTGGATAAATAATTCAATTAACAAAAATGGTTAAAAAGTCTTTTTTTCAAAGCAATGTATACTCATCATCCAGCTCTTAGTAAGTTGCTGGAGATTTTATAGACACTCAATATGTATTAGTATAATAAACTGCACTTAAAATAAAAATGTGCAATAGAATAAAGACAGATAGTATTTAGGTGACCTTCAGTCTTAAGATTTTTCTACCATCTGTTCAGACTTTGCTTTATAGGGAGACATACAAGCATGTGTTTATTCTATGGACTACACGGAGTTAGCAGTGTTCATTAAATGCTCCCCTCTGTCCTTAAATGTCACAGGTGTATACAACCTTGTGGCCCATCATTCTTGGTCAGACTTGGTCCATTTTTTCTGCTTAGCCTCTGTATTTCCTGACTATCAAGGTGTGTTTCTACCAATCTGCAGATGTCACAGCTTGGAAGCCCCAGAAGCACCCCAAGGCCAGAGCATTGCAAACCAAATGTCCCCACCTTCCAGGGTTTTCTTTGTTTCTCCAGCTATTAATGGTTACACTGTCTTCTCCATGGAGGGTCCATAGTGATTTCTAGGGGTTTCATTGTTGTTGTTGTTTGCTAGTATATAACAGCTAATCAGATAGGCCAAGCATTGTTCTTTTGCTTGCTAGTTGCCTTGAAAGTCATTCCCAGAATGCTTTGCCAGGACAAATAAATGTTAGACAGTTAGACACATCTTAAAGGAATTTGATACACTCAGAATATTCATAGTTTGTGCTTTTTTATAGCCCTCACTCCACATCCTGGCCATTGGCACATATTGGCTTCAAACAGAAAACTAATTGCCAATGTAATGGCAAAAAAAAATTTCCTAGTTTTTAAAATGACCTCATTTCTTTAATTACTAGACAGGCTAAGCTTTGAATATTTGT